CTCGACCGAATACTTAACAAAAGTGTAAGCGCCAAAATGTTATTATTATATCGTCCGACAAAATTGAACTTTTCTTTTCGCCCATAAAAAGAAGAGACCAAAACAAAGTGCCCATTTTTCTCGTTTTTCTAGATAAAGTCATTTATGGGTTCTATGGGAAAAGCAACCCTTAACAACCCTTATGCTGAATCGGACAATAGAAAATTCCCTTGTGGCGATTCTACAAAGACTATTGCCTTCTCATCGCCTTCTTCTTAGTGTTTGTGCGTAGAGGGCAACGAGAAGGTTGCATTTTGTGGTAGAAACGAAATCGGAATCATAAAACTTCGTTTCCAAGCGTTGTTTGTTTTTGGATCCGCCATTTGAAACTGATTTCAGTTTGTAATCAGCCATTCAAAGAAACTTTGGATGCCAAATTTCATACAAATCTAATTTTCTTTATCCATCCGGCATTTTGAAATTTTAAAAACAGATGTTCAGATTCATAATCACCGACTCCAAAAACTCTTAAAGCATAAACAGATGGCAGCGTTGATCCGGATCAACTCGGGAATTAACTGCAGTTGATCCGGATTAAGTCCGGGTTAACACGGCAGTTTAAGCTTTTCGATGCGAAGTCTGACGAAGGTTGAAAAATCACAAGATAATATGTATTCTTTTGACTGGTTCAGCATAGGGGTTATTAAGAGTGGTTTTTTCCCCTAGTAATCGCAAACGACTTGATCTAGAAAAAGGGCAAAAGACGGGTATTTTATTTTTGTGTCTACCTTCCGAAAAGCCTGATTTTTACTTGGGTGCAAACTTGTTTATTTTTCTGTTACAATTGAATGCATAAAATTTAATCGAATATCTGCATGCGGTGTTACAGGCAAAAAAAATCCGCTGATTATATCGGTTTTTAGAATTAACACTTCAACGAAATTCGGCTAAGTAAAAGCACCCACGCCTATTAAATGAAGCAACTGACGAAGCTTGAATAAATTTATGGCTTTACAAAAAAAAAAAAAAAAAATCTGGAGTAGATAAGCCGCAAAAGTGAGAAATATTTGTTACTTTTCTTTACATTATTCAATTGAATAAGTGTTATAGAATATCTTGTTTCTTAGATACGTATGTATGTACATATTAAAAATGTAACTCATAGATGTCATATAAATAACACAAAACAGATGCGAATATTACGCGTCACATTACTTTTACACATAACACGCCACCTTACAGATGTGATCTCTTATGTTCGCTCAAGTATGTCTGCAGACGAAACAAATATTAATGAATTTCGTACAAAATATGATAAATTGTGCAATGCAATCATGCAAAAGTGATAAAAGGCCAGAAACCGGAGAGCCTTTCAAATGCTATAGTGAAGCCTACCATGTGCCCATCGCCATAAAGAAATATTTGCTTTAGTTATCGTGTGTAGATGTTCAGAACACATATGGAAAATTTAATAAAAGTATTCATTATAGCATACTCGTAACGCATATGTATAGTACATACATATACAAAAAAAAAAAAAAATACAAAGCATTTGGACAATATATGCTGAAATACTTAATGGGAAAAATCAGGCGACAAAATATACTAAAATACATTAAAAATGTTTGCCTACGCAATGACATATTCAAATGCATTTATATATGTTTTTACATATGTGCACACAAGCGTGTGAGAGTTGTGGCGTAAATGTGTCTTAGACAATCGCTGCTTGTCCACGAGCTGTCAATTTTATTTCTACTACTGTCACTCAAACTGATTGATAATTTTTGCCAAAAAAGCGACAATTTATAAAGCCTAGAGCTGGATTTGAAAGTCGCGTATTCACCAAAAACATACAAACAAACATATTATTTATATATGTACATATGTACCTGCAAGAAATGTTTGCAAACAAGTGTCAGAGGCCTATACGACTCCTTGAGCATGAGTGGCTAAAAGTTTGTAGGAGTCGGAATAGAAGTTAGCGTAAAGACGTTAATCCTATGATCAATGACCAATAATATACTCGCGAGTCAGCGAACAAGTGCCCTTGTACGTTAGAGATGTTCAGGTTAATGACTGTGAGAAATCTATTTAACAGCGAACGAAAATGAAAATCAACCGAAGTAATTTATGAAAAAGTTTTTGTTGAAAAGGTCAGTGATTTAGTTAGTTTCATGAAACAACACATAATTCATAATTTCTTAGAGACTTTGCCTTGACTAAATACTGGATACAAAAGTACTCAGTGCTTAATAAGTACTACTTATGAATTTATTAAATAATAAATACTTGCAACTTATTTAGTATGAAAATAAACAATTTTGAGATGTTCGGTACTATGTCATTGGGCTATTTCGGAATTTTCGGTACTGTTTTAGAATATTGAAATTCTCAAAACGATTTTCGGTACTATTCCGGGTCTTTGGGACTACTTTGGAATATTCGAACTAGTTCGTTATTTTCGAGACTCCGATTTCCGGACTATTTTGAGATTTTTGGGACTATTTCGGGACTATTCGGGATTCTCGAGACTATTTCGGAAACCAAATTCACCGATCTGAGATGAGGTGAGTTCTAGCGAGTTCAGAAGAGGTGAATTCGAATCAGGTGTGTTAAAGTGAGGTGAGTTAATGTGAATTGAATTGAGTTAAGTTGATGTGTTTTGTGGTAATTTGAGGTGAAATGAGTTGAAGTGAGGTGAATTAGATTAAGTTGAGTTATAATAATATATAATAAATAATTTAGTATCTAAGTATTTAGCCATCCGCTATGTATATTAGTTATTTAGTGAACCTTTAGATTACAGTATTTAGCGTCTGCTACTTTAGTATTAGTAGTATTTGGGTATTTGTACTAGTAAGTTCAATCCGAAAAATACTTAAAAACAACAAATCAAATAAAAGACTAACCTGAACCGATAAGCTAAAACTTTATATAACGGTTATAGCGAGTCATTTTTTGTTTATAACAAAAAATAAACAACTTTTGGCGGCTCTTTTATAAATGGTTTGAGGTTGCGATATCTGCGCCCTCCTTACCATTTCTGGCCATGCTTTTACGTAGCTCAGTGTGAAAAGAGCAATCCAAGGCAACGTACGTGCAAGTGTTTGTAATACCCCATTGGTGTAACTATATAGCAAACCACCACGTCAGTATAATTGTAATTTTTTCTGGTGTCTTGCATACCTCAGGTAAAATCATTATAGTTGCTCTCAAACCTTAAGACAATAAATCCGTATTGCAACTGATATTATCGCCTTTTTGCAGCCAATAAGCTTCCTTCAAAAGAACTTCGGCCGGAACATTTAAAAACAATGGGTAGCAAATGATTGAGTGGCACGAGAAAATTGAAGGCGAAGCATAACATTTCAACGACGGCGACGACGATCGTATAAAAGATCTGGTGATCTGCTCAGGAAGGTACACAAAATTTTAGAGTGCGAGCACATATGAGACATTCTTTTTCATATCGGACACCAAATTTGGTCTAACAATTTCGATTGACTTACAATTTTTTTATGGGTTCCATACATGAAATAAGCTAACACGTGTTCGAGGAATTTTTTTCGCTTTTTTATTTGGAGATTTGATCTGTCAAAATTTGCATTTTTTCGTGATTCTGACTAATGATGTCCTCCTTAAAATCACTATAGAGAATTAAACAGGGATTACGACGGTATAATTATAAATCCCTAATTTACTGGTCTTCACTACGCAAATCAACTTCAAAAAGTTCAATTGTTAATCGCCAAGTTAGCTTGGCTGCGATCAGCAGTACCCGAGATATAACGATTTGAAGGAGTGCGTGATTAGTCAGAATCACGAAAAATGCAAACTTTGACTTTTTTGAATTCCTCGAACATGTGAGCTTATTTCATGTTTAGAACCCACAAAAAAATTTGAAGCGAATCGGAGACATGACATCAGTTTTTTACGAAATCCGTCCGAATAAAAAAAAAGGCTCCTATACATAAATACTAGGGAACCTAATTTTGTAACTAAATAACTCAAAGTTTGAAAGTTATGTGCATCTATATATTTATAGAACTCCCTATTTTTGTCGGTGTTAAAATGTACAAACTGCAATCTCAATACAATATTTGCTACTGATAGCACAGTCTGTGAAATTTTTCGCTGCGTTATGTCCAAATACAGATTTTTATTATTACTCAATTATTTGAAAAAATAACATTTAGAAAAGAATCCGCTGGCTTCTTTATCAAATACATTTATTAACAAGTCCAAGTCTAATTCTCGTGCAGTTAGTACATCGCTGCCGAAATTATGTATGTTGAAAGTTAATAGTATACATGACACAAAAAACCTGCTAAATATGGGCTGATAATCATGATTTTATGTAAATCACGAACTTTTTTTCACGTAAAGTGCTAATATCTACCATGGGGAAAATTCTCATGAAATGGGACTTAATATACAAGAAAAGAAATTATTGGCGCCATCATAAATAGTCTTATAACTTATAAAATTTTTTGAAGGCTCAAACCCTAACATAACAGCTGTCAAATGGCTTAGTTCCGTCATGCTAATGGAAGTTTTGCGAAAAATGCTTCTAACGTAACTCGGTACGGTGAAGAATAATAAGCGAGATACCTGCAAGTTTTTTGACAAACAAAAAAAGTTAAGTTGGAACTTCACGAAAGGATTTCACCAAGGACTTTACGTTATTGTCATTTGTTTCAAAGGACAATAGAATAGTTCTTTAAATCTTATTTACACATCACACTCGAGAATCGAGTAGTGGGTCAGGTAAACCACTAGTGATAAAAAATTATAAACATACCGAGTGTGGCGTTAATGAGATCGATTGGTGCAATGGCAATATATGAAATTATCAGTTCTCGCTCTTTCTATGCATTTGTGTTTCACAATATCAACCACCGTCTTCAAATTGAGGCTATTTACCAGATAATTTCAATTTGTTGTTTCATTTCTTCAAATATTATTACGCTGTGTTTAGACAAACAACACTAAACTAAAGCCAAAAGAAATAAACTTACTTTATTTGATCCCATATCTCTTCGCCGAAATTCTTCAGCACCAGCAGCTCCAGCGCGTAATTAACAAATCCGTACTGAAATGAAAAATAGTGACAAAGAAATAAATAAATGAAATATTTTTTAAAGACGGTTATATATCAGAAGACTAATTAGGAGAAATAAGCTCATAAGCACTGGAACAAAAAAGTATGAAAACTAATGAATGAGGGAGTATACAAGTGTGAGGCAACTGCTAGGAAGCGCATTAATTATTTGATAAAAGTGTAGAAATTACATACAAGCATTAGCAAGGAGAAGACAATTTCTGTATTGCATGTGCTGAAATGTAAAGCGAGAATCCACTTAAATACATATTACCCTCAGCCTCGGCAAGCAAAATCTAATAAACTCGACGCCGCCAGCAGCAGCATTAAGTAGTCAGCTTTGAATCGAAAGTGGGGCGCCACTATTCGCATAGTGGAGCAATTGACACAATTCTTTATATTTCTTTTATGACTTTTGCACTTGGCGTAATTTTTTACTTAACTGCTACAATTTTCTTTAGCCGCGTACTTACTACCTACTACTTTTGTGATGCCTCGTAGCTATTCATTTTCTTTTGTTTTTGCTTTACTACTTCTTGCTATTGCTTCCGATGGCTAAATTATAAGACTTTGCAGTGTGCAATTTTTTATACGAAAGCAATGTGGCATGGCGTAAAAAACGTGTAGACATAGAAAAAAATATATATAACAGGTGCCTAGCGTGCAGATTTCCGCTTTTACTGTGAGCTCAAATGCAAACCGTTTGGCGTGCGGTAGCTTTTAATTAAAGCTTGTTAGCACTTTGTATGTATTTACATATATACCTAAAATAGCAAAAAAAAGTAAAAAGTTCGGCACGTAATTGACAGCTTACTGTATTTTGTGAATACGCAGGTATATTTAGTTGATATTTATTCATTGAATTCGTGGAAACCCCCATTGCGACTGCAGTTTAGAAAACGGGGGTAATTTGCAAAATGATTCTTATTTATAAGGCGGTTGATTTGTTTGAATTTGTGACGGAATATCTTTCTAGATATCCAACAACGCTGGCAACTGTAAATAAATGCAACTATCAACTTTTTCTAAACAGTTTTTCTAAACTAATGCTTTTATGTTTCCCGTTTCTTTTTAACGGACTCACAGGGGGACGTTTGAACGAGCAAGGCTGTCACAAGAATTTTTTTTCGAAATTTTAACAAAATGTAAAAAAAGTAGCCGCGTTCAATAGAAAAAATTCTGAAGAGCATTTCCCAGTCCCCTTCACTTTATCAACTTACAAAACAAACGTACACCGTTTACAGGAATCAGAGTATTCTAACAGTGCGTATAAAATAATTTTCGGTCTTTATAGAGATTGTGACGGATTTAAGTAAATATTTTTGTGATCAGTGACTTATCTATGTAAAAATATTATTATGGATTTGGATAAAGCAGGTAAGAACACATATGTAATTTTGATATATTTCACTGTGGGGTAAATTTTTTTTTCTGGCAGCAGCACCAAAATTAGTGGAGAAGATGAACCCGATGACGATGCGAGTCAATGTCGTACCGCCTGACTATGAAGCGGTACGAATAGCTATTACACGGCCGAAAAACAACAAAGCTGCTGGAGTTGACGGTCTGCCAGAAGATGCATGCAAGAAGTCTTATGCAGAGTATGGTCAGATGAACGCAAGCCCGTCGACTGGAATTTAAGTGGCTCTGATCAACCCACAATAAAGGCGATCCCTTAGTATGCGCCAACTATCGCGGGATCATCACATCAGAATTTAGTTGACTGGTAGGTTCCAGAGTAGGGGCGGAGAGAACTTGTCCTTGAGGAATACCTTTCGTTGCATGTGTGGTTATGGACGCGCCCCCCCAACTCTGATGAGAGAGTTCTTCTTTCAAGCAGAAGCCTTGTAAGCTCCGCCAGAGGCCGCTCCAGCCCCCTTGGGAAAGTGAGCGCACTGAGGCCTCTGGAGGAATAATGACGCCCTCTAAGCTAAGAAAGATACCTAAGGTAAATTCCCTAAAGGCGGGTTCTTTTTAAATTTTGGACACAATTTCGTGAAGCGCAAGGTCCACGAATTTGCCCTTAGAATAGGCATGTTGACACTCCGACACGTTCTCAGATGAAAGGCGCTCTCTGATATGGGCGTAAAAAAGTCTTTCTAGAGTTTTAAGAAGAAAGGATGTTAGGCTTGCTGGCCTGAAGTCATTGTATTTAACTAGTCCTTTTGTTAGTGCAACAAAAGCATTATTTATAGCTCTTACGAATATATGAACATAGTAGCTGATCCCTGGATGCACGTTGCCACATTAAGAAGAATTCCCCAATAGGTGCACTCCACTTTGTCTGTACTGTGATATCAACCACGAAAACGCTTTCAGAATTTATGGGCCGACGTGACTTGACCAGACACTTATATTTAATACCTTTACTGTTTCACAATGATTTCTGACACGTAGAATATATAGAAATGCTTAAAATCTGATGGTCATATTTTAATATTGATCGACAGAATTTTTGTTCACTATCGCCCTTGAAAATTAGTTTTAAGCTTTGTTATAGGAAGCTTGACAGTAAAGCCAGCAAATTCCAAAATACGATTAATTTAAAATACACAATATGCAAAATTCGACTGCAGCACAAAAAGTAACTTTTAAGCGAATGCAAATGCTCAGCGGAATTTTCTTGGTATTAAACCTTGTAGCTATTAGTCGTTTACATGTAAATTCATTCAATATGATATCGATTTTTTTTTGTTAAATTATTTTCTGACTCGTTATCGACATATCCGGCGGATGTACAACTGTGTGCAAAAATTTCTAACAAAAATAAATGTACGTACGTCCATATAACGAACATGCTAAGATTGTTTGTATTGTTGTTGTACGTTTGTATGTTTTTATTTTCCTACAAACGATAAGCCACATACCCTACATTTTGATTAAGCTTCCCCGTAGAGAAAACGGGGAAATTCAACAAAATTTTATAATGCATAGGTCAGTTCAGCAGCAGTCTGATTGTTAAGTATATAATTAAATTATTTTAAAATACTGCCTAACTTTAGACAGATGATTTGCGGGGAATCAAGTTACATGACTGTATTAGTGATCTTCTGAAATTTATTACAGTACTAGTACTGTGGCGAAAACCATCGATTTAAATTTGGTGCCATCGAATCGATGTATTAATTAATAATAATGACTGACAACATAGAAATAGAAAATAGTATTGAAGAACAAATTTCTACAATTTTCAAAGTTGCTTGAAAGCTGAGTTGCAAATACTGGACTGGTGAATGTATTGCCCTCTAATCCTCTTTTCTTTAAGGGTACTAGCTTATAAATTTTGAAAAAGACATTTCTGATCAGTAGCTTAAGGAAAAATGGCTTAAAAAATATCTCCACTTTCACTTTTATATTTTTATTCCGATTTCAAACATCAAAAAATTTGTTTTCTTCGTAAAAGGTCATATTTTCACCTGCCAAACAGAAGCCGGTAATAAACATATTTTTCTCAGACGTAATTTATGACAAAGCACAATTTTTAGAGAAGTTTTGTAAAATTCTTGAAAATTTCATAAATATTTATTAAAAATACAATTTAATTACAAATGTAGGCTCGGAGCTTGTATTTAATTAAACTTGATCCGACATTCTTGCTGATAAAATTAGAGCGCGACGGAGTATTACTGAATGAGGTTGTATTCCCTCAAAAACCTAAATTTCCTCTCTTTACAAATTGATGCGTTGTACAAAATATTTATTACTGCTTTTATAGTATTATTTAACTTTAAGATTTGATTCACTCACTTTAATAATGATTCACTTCTGTACTGAGTTATGGATTCCTCTACTTGTTGTTTTTTAATTAATCAAGCTGCCGTTGTTCACCTCTAATTGAGTTAGCAAAATTGTAATGCTAACGCGGTCAAAATCTGCTATACTTTGCATCATAATATTTAATGTTTATTAGCTTTCACTACACTTAACTGATTAAAAAAAAAACGAAGAAGTTCAAAGCACGACTGGAGACTGTCTGCTTAGCCGCTAGCTCATTAAATCGCTTGCTCACTCAGTTATTCATAAATTTTGCTCATCTTACTGCACGAAGAACGTACGTATGTGTGTATGTTTGTATGTGTGTATGCGCATTAATGCCCGTCGAGAATATGAATTATAAATATTTATTAAAGCTTAATATGCATACCCCTCCAACAACCGCAAAACACAACCACATTGACAGCTAACTACAGCAACGAAGGCAACAACACAGAGTCATATTGCGTTGTCAGCTGTAATATACATAGCCATAATGTGGAAATTTAAACTAAACAAACAAAAGCAAAATCCCAGCGAAGATCCCGATAACTTTTTCACACCACCATCTAACTACGAACAACCGTTTTCTAATACAAATAAATATGTATGTACATATGAATGTATGATTATCCATATACAGTTGTTTGCAGCTTTGTTGAAAGTTTTCAAGATTTTATTTCTCACCTCCACGCTTCTTCTACCTCCATATTAACATAGTGATTAAAGCACCAGACAGACTGTGGCCTGTGGCGCGGACATTAATCCCAGGTGCTCTGCATAGTTTGCAGCTCTGAGATTGAGCACAAACATACATACTATGTACATTACTGCAGATAGGTATCCTTGAAAGTATTCGCACGCCAGTCATTCCATCGATTAGCTTTTTCGCTCCTACTTACATACGTATGTATGTATTTATGTACTTATCGTGGCTTCTATAGTAGCACTGTACCCGAGAGACTTGAAACATTATTTGATTTGATTGCCCTTTTTCTATCAATATCCCTTTGTATGAAAGCCACTTTTATTTTTTTTAATGCGTTTTATTTACTTATACATACATATGTAGTAAGTATGCGCCTGTTTATTTTTGTTTTAACTTTTGTAGTTGTAGTTTTGTAATGAACCGCAAAATCGCCTTAAAAGTTATGCAATTGGCATTTAGTCATCATAAAATATGTAAAAGCAATGTCGCTCCCACGCCGCAGTTCATTGTCAATGTGCCATTTACATATGCATTTACATATATACTGTTAACACATTTACATTTACACAAAAATCGATAAACTTGAATATTTCAGGAATGGAATTTCTCCTGTCAGAGCAAGAAATTGAAAAGTGTAAAGTTATTGAACATTTGCACCACAAAAGCGAAGTATTTTACTGGAATTTAGAGAATTATGTTTACGAAAGTTATCTAAAATGGAAATAACTTAATAATAAAAATAAAAGAATCTTTTGTATTGGTTATAGGTAATTGTGAAGGTTCGAGCAGAGTTATTGCTTATAGTTATGTGGTACATACTTCTTTGCTCCGTATTTTGTATAAATATTCGCAGTCTATTTATCACAATTTACAACCTTTTAAACCATTTATGTTTTCAACAATTGAACATGTTCTTTTAAGTAAAAGTTACTGCCCTGATCGTAAAACTTTTGTTGTGTTATTTTATTTGTCCATCAAAGATAAACTTAAGTTATTCTTTCAAATGTCCACAGACATAAACAGACATGTGAAGTAATGAAGCATGTGGAGCAAGCGGGTTTATTATTATTAGTTATCACGTCGGATATACTCGCGCTGCTACCTAAAAAGATCCAGATAGACGACCAAAGTGTATCAGTTAGCGATTCATAATATGCGAGCAGTCACAAATAATCTCTGTAATTTCCAGCCCACAAAACCTGCAGTTCGTCTCTACAGAAAGCTCCATTTTGTTCAAATGATCTAAGACACTCCCGGCTGAGTTCAAAGCTCATTCCCTTTGACTTAAGCCAGTGGGCAGCGATCTGAGATTCTTCCCATTTATTAAGCAGTCAGGCAGTGTAACCTTTAGATGTATCACAGAAAGGCTGGAGACCATGCATGCGCATTTGGGATCCACGTTTTGCGAAATAGTCAGCTCTTTCGTTGCATTCAAATTGTTTATTCCCAGGGACCTACCACAGCGTAATTCTATTATGCGCTCCTAGGCTGTTCAGAGGAGTTTTACAACTATCCATGAGCGTTTATGTCATTGTTACATGTTACGTGTTTAAGTCTAACCCCTCTATTCTAACAGAGTCACAAAACTTAGCTCATCACTGTTGTGATTTCAAGGGCGCCGAGAAATGTGTCACAAAAAATTCGATTTTGAGTGCTAGAGAAATACACAGAAATTTAAAAAATTGAATTGTACCGGCACACTTTTTGCAGCGGCAAGCTTTGAGGCGCGGTAGAAGTCACAGCAGTGATGAGCTAAAGTTTGTGGCTTTGTTAGAATACGGCTGTAAGTTGTTTAGTGCTGCCTAACTATAAGTCATAATATTTATTATGGCCCCTTTTGTTCTTATCCGAAGACATTATCGAACACAGACTTCGATTTCAAAGACTTTCGCGTGGAAAATGGGTCCCAAGCACGCCTGCCTCAATACTCCCGTCGCCCATCTTTAATCCATCGGTATACCATACTTAGGACCCTTTGCCTATCATAGATATTATCGCTTTACAGCAGTCCCTTTCAAGAATTCTGACTTTGTAGGGCTTATCGAGTTATGATTTCGGTAGAAGGATATCTGTGAACTTGATAGCGGGATCATCTATAAATCTATAAATGTCTTGACAACCTCCAAGTGACCCCAAAGATGCCCACTTTTCATGCTGATTACAATGGTCGCACTAGAGCCGGCCAGTGCCGCACTTGTAACAACGGGTTTAGCGACCGTACTGATATACAAATACGTTAGTTTGGGTGATATTCCTTGAATTTTACCATGGTAAAAAATGCTCTTGCGGCCTTGTTGGTAACTTTCTAGAGATGTGAGTTCCATTTGAACCGTTTGCCCAGAGTTACTCCTAGATACTTGTTCTCTTTTGAGAACTCAATTTTTGTCCATGCCAAGGTGGGTCTCGTCAAGTTGACTTTGCTTCTTTTAGTAAATGGGACAACGGTGGACTTCAGAGGGTTTATCAACAATCCCTTTGAATCACACCAGTCTTCTTTTAATCTGAGCGCAGCTTGCAATCTGAAGCAACTAATGGTTCATGCCAGCCGACAACGTATATACTAGGTCAGCTGCATATCCATATGCCTTGAGTCCATTGCCATTTAGCTTTTAAAAGAGTTCGTCAACAACCAGCGTCCATAGTAGGGGCGATCAGACTCTCCCTTGAGGACGGCCACGGATGGCAATCACTGCATGCCTGCATGTCTGCTAGTTCCGGAATTATAGTTGTGGATTTCAACATGCTTATGATCTAATCAGTTAGAAGGTTTGGAATATCCTACCTTATCACAGCTATCGATATGGCTTCGTAAGACGTATTGTCGAAAGCACCTGATATGTACAGGAATGTACATACTGCAATGCGTTTTCAATGACTTTAGTTAGGCTATGTATTGCAGTACTAGTAGATTTTCCTACCTGGTATGCTTGCTGACTCTTACATAGAGGATTATTTCAGAGAAAGTTTTCCCTTATGTGCAAATCAATAAGTTTTTCTAATGTTTTTACTAGAAAGGAGCTGAGGGTAATTGGTCTATACGCAGGTAAGATACTTGCTCGCAGCAATCTGAATAGTGGCCCAGATATTAAGCCCGAGCTCTGTTGTAGCAGGCATGGGTAAATGCCATCTGGATCAGGAGATTTATATGCACTAAAGGTTGAAATTGGCATAAGTCAAAAAAACTCTAGATAGGTTAGTCATACTTTTATGTGAAATAACGACACTTTTTGTTTTGTGCCGTTGGGCAGCAATACAAAAGGAGTTTTTTTTCGTTTAACTGCTTGGGAGTTCTTACTTATTTCCCAGTTATGTAGTCCAACACTTACTTAATCTTTAGAAAAAATCTTCCGAGAAATATTATTGCAAAATCTTTAATTGGCTCTACTGAAAAATATGAAATTTTAAGTTTTGTCGCTATAGTAGAGTAGTACACTTAAGTGTCGGTGGACTTCACTGATATCGGTTGGAATGAAAGGAAAGGGGTACATATAACGAAGGGGGAACAAAATAATACTTATTTTTATGCGCCAGTACGCGACACATTCTTATTTAGTGCTCATGCTAAAATATTTAATTTAAATTCTTAATTTGAGATTAAGTTTATGAACAGGTGGCAACTCTCTTCAAAAATAATTTTGTGGGACACCCATATTGTTGTAATATTCTAACTTACTTAATAAAAAGTTGGTTTTTAATACTTAAAACGACTGGAAAGTGCCCATCTATGATTTCAACACATTAAGCAACAACCCTAGTGTACAATGTATGTGCGCAATGTGCCAAACGAAAGTAAAAGTTGGGGGTTTTGATTAAATCTCTGTGGACATTAATGACAGTATATGAGGTGTTCAGTAGACATTTTATTTGTATTCATAATAAAAAAGAATGTAAAATGTACGCAATCACAAGATTCCTAATCCCAAAGAAAGGGAAATATAACTTTACAAAACAAATAAATAATTTCTACATACCTCGATTCGCATAAAATCATAAGGACTTACCATTTTGTTTAGCTGCAAGGCAATGCGATGGAACGAACGAAGTATTTGGGTGGATACCCTTTTTCTGAAATGATTTTCAAATGTCCCTACAGTTTAATGCGCGACAGCGGTCAATGGTTGTTTAGTATGCACATATGTACATATACATATATATGTAAATCTATTCGCTTTAAGGTACACTTCCTTTTTTTATTTCACTTTTCACTTCGCTTTGGAATTCGGGTTTCTTTATTACGCGTCGTTTCAATTTCAAGGCAATAAAATGAAAGGTAAGAGAACAAACAAACTTGTTGAATTGCTGTGCTGGTGGGCGTGAGTTTTCTGCTTTTTACAGCTACATCAAAGGAAAGAATTTCTGTCAATTTATGCGTACACCGCCGGGTTAGTACGTCGGCGACTGATAAGTGACCGGATGCCGACAAACTCAAACACTCACACTTTTAAGCAATCGTCGTAGCTTGCGTACGTACAGTGCGTATACGTAATAACACAATTTGTACGTATTTTTTTGTGCGGATTCTCCGATCTACCGATTTAGTTACCAACTACACTATATGTACTGGTAAACGATTTTTTTTTCACAACATAGTGCTATCGTAAGCAAATGAAGAAAGCGCAATGTTGGTGCTGTAAATTCAATACCGTTGAGTAAGCGATTAAATGCACGGTTTTACTTTTTCTTTATAGCTGGTACTTTTTATTCACATCCGCTTACGGATTGCCGGATTTGTTATGCTTTTGCTGTTGCAATTGTGCGGTTTCTGTTTATGTGATTGGATAGCAGTTTTCTCAGTTTTTGTATTTTGTTGTCTTTTTTTTGGAGTTGAGAGTCTTTGTTTTTTATTCAGAATTTTTTATTTTTTCACAGAATTTGTTTTTGTTATTTTTGTTGTTGTTTTTTCACAGAATTATTTTTTGAGTACTTCGCTCACTACGTACCACTTTATTTTTATTTCTTCCTTTTATCGCGTATTCTTGATTGCGATTATGCTCAACTTATCCTTTGCTTCAATTCGCTTCAATTTTTCACTTCTTCTCCTTCTGTATGCCCGTGGTGAGTTGCACTCAAAGCACCTTATGCTGAAAAGAGAATAAATATTTTAATATACTTTTTTATTTTATTTTATTGTGAGCATCAAGTTTTTGTCCGCATTAAAAATATGTATGTATATTAGAGTGGTCCAAAAAAAAATAAAGTCGGAGTTTTAATGCCGGCACACCCTAGGATTGATCTATATCGAAAAAAATAGACCCCTATTTTTTATTTTGAAATCAAAAAATATTTAGGGAGTGCTCAAAGCGCTCAAAGTTTCTCATGTATTTTATATGGAGAAAAAACATCTTTTCGTAGAATTAGTGTGGAATTCTTGAAAATCAATATTTTTCGATCGGAGAAGCTTACTTATCTTCAGGAGATTCCCAGCAATAACACTCCATTGTTTCTTTAACAATTTTTTAATGCTAACTATATTTTATAGGTCCTCCAAAGCCCTTAGAAAATGCAATGGGGGACCAATAAAAAATCTTTAATCATAAAAAATGATTAAATAAACAATTGGATATTAATACTGGAAGTCACCTGAAGAGAATCACAGTATTACGGTCGAAAAATATTGATTTTCAAGAGATATATACCATTTCTACGATTTTTTTTTCTCCATGGAAAACTTTGAGCGCTTTGAGTACTCCCTAAATATTTTTTGATTTCAAAATAAAAAAATAAGGGTATATTTTTTTCGGCATATAACAATCCTTTTTTTGACATACATTTTTGGACCACTTTAATGTATATAGTTGAAAATTAATTTAAATGGAGATACATATGTACAATTTCAAACAATATGTGCAATTTCACTTCATAAAAAAATTCATACATACTACAGCAACTGGTTAGTAGCGTAAACCACCCTGTAGGGAAACCCCGAACTGATGAACCAAATATGTAGTTCCGTACTAGATCTTTGTCGCCAGTCCGATAGTATCTAGATCGCCACCAGTTCAAAAGCAGCGCGATGTGGTACTATTAAAAAAAAACAATTTTTTATTTTGAGAAACCTATATCTAAAATGTCGAATTTAGAACTGGTTCGAAACTATAGAAAAAGGGATGCAGCTTTAAATAGATTTTTCCTTGGCGGGGTTTTCGTTAATATATGCTTTGAGTCTGCGCTTCGCAAATGCTTTTTCATAGTTTGGTATTACAAAACTAAAATTTTTGTTAATATTTTGTGACCTCAGCGCCTCTGCAAATTCATCTACAGCCGAAGGTATGTAAACGTGTTTTCAAATGCCCAATTTGATTTACATTCGTTCAAACAAATTTGATTTCTGATTGAAAACATATTTCTTTAGAAATAATTAAAAATCCTACCATGGTAACACCAAACAGACTGTTTGTAAACGTCGTGTTACTTTTCTGTCGATTTTATAACTAATTCAGAACTATAGAAGACGGGGTGCAAAGCGAACTAGAGGTTCTGAACTATAAAAAAGGTGCAGCGGGGGACAATTTCCAATTCCTATGACATCGAGGTGTTAAATTCGCCAGTTGTTTGCATGCAAAAGAGATTTATCGCGAACTAGTGGCGGGTCTAAATGTACTAGAAGCGCACCAGTTCAGAACTAGATATTTTCCTCACAGGGCAACTACCAGTCCGCCGGGATTTTCCTTATACTCGACGAGTATGTGTGCTGAATTACATACATACATATGTATGAAAATACATACATCAAGCGAAGGTATGCAAATTGGTACTTGGCAGTAGTGTCCGTCGTTATGCAAATCCGCTGCTCCCAATTCACCAAAAAAATCGATTTCAGTACCCTACAGTATACATAGTATGTGGTGTTGAAAAAATTTTCGTAATATATGTACATACGTAAATATGTATGTACAAATGTATAAATATGTACACACATAAATATTGGCATGCATACTCGTGAATATGAAAAACGGTGCTAGCTTTAGTGAGGTAGACTAAATCGAATGCAATCATATGTATGTGCATACATATCAAGGTTGTTGCGAATATTCGCATTCGCATTCGCAACCGCGGAGCTTCCGCATTAATTTTAACATTCGCATTCACTTTCGCATTCGCAATGCTACATTAAAATTGTCCCCCCTGCGCCCCCCTCCTTTTGTAATTTATAGTCAAAGAGTAAGATCCTTCAATAGGTATTTCCTGCGGAAATGTTCAACGTCTGGCTATAAAGAGAACCGACTATTTGCGCGTTGAAAAGTAACCTTTAATTAGGTAAGAATAACGTAATTATCGAGTATTAGTTGTCAAAGATTTGTTAAAAAAAACTGGATGCATCGCTAGTTTTTAACCGACTTCCAAAAAGGGAGGTGGTTATCAGCTCGTCGGAATATTTTTTTCTTTTTTTTTTTTGTATGTTACCGCATAACCTAGGACGGATGTCGATAATTACCTTTGCATCGGAAAGGTAGTGCCTCAGAAGTGGTCCCATACTAATCTAGTTTAAGTTCGATTTTTGGATCATTAACTATATTTTTGTATGAGAATTGAAGTCGGTTTTTTTTGCTACAAATTAATTTTTTACTTTTTCTTAGGTAAGTGTAGTTATTTGTTTTCTCAAAAAACTTATTATTTTTAAGTTCCGTGTTTGCTTTTATTAGTCTTTCAGCTGGAAAACGACAACATTTATTTTAATTTTGTGATAATTATCAAAATTAGCACGCTTCGAAATAAAGATAAAATAATATGTGAATATGTTGACAGCAAAGTTCACAAATCAAATAAGAATTAATTCAAGGCGAATTTAATAAATATTGAGGAGTGGGACTTAGCATGAAATATATCTTTAGTATAGTATGAAAAGGGCGTAACTTATGTCGCCGGGGAAAAACAAAAGTCGCAACTAACTAAAAATTCAAAATTCGAATATTTTGATTGATTAAGATGGATTTCATCGAATCATAAGACCCCTCCAGCGTTGCAAAATTGACGCTTTCGTCGTCATTTTGACGTTTTTTTTAGCTCAATGACGTTTTGATGATTTTGCAACCGTAATTACGATTTTTTTTAGTTTATCCACTTACTTATATATGTATGTAGCACATAACTTGTTAAATGAAAACGTAATCTAAAATAAACAATGCATTTACATATCTAGTTTTGTTCTTCAACCTTTAGTAACCCATATGCAATGTGGGTTCCCTTTGGTTTTGTAATGTGTGGTCATTAGGGCGGAGTAATTTAATTTGGAAAAAAGTGCATGGCTTATTGGAATTCTACTTTCCATTATAAGAAAAAAATGGTGAACAATCTAAGTATATACCACAAGTGACGTTTGACCAATTTTTAAAAGAAAAACTAGTGTATTATATTTTTTTCTGAGCGAAATTAGTTTTTCATTTACAAAATTATGAAGGCAACTTCACGCAATATACTGCGTTTTCTTTTGTAATTGGAAGAGTCAAACCTAATTTTTGGCATACAGTTTTCTCGCCATTTCGCCTTTCAATTAATCGTAGAATTTGAATTTGCCGTACGCTTTTCTCGAAAATTTGGCTCCGAATAAATCACTCATAGTTTTCATATTTATTGTATTTATGTAATTTCTGTAGGTAAATTTGTTTGTATTTTTTATTGTTACAAAATTATAACAACCAAAACTAGACGTTTTTTTGGAAAAAATTACGATTTTATTTGGGGTAAATTGACATTTTTTTATGCAATAAAAAAATTTGTTAGTTGTTGCTTTTTTACATTTCAGCGAGAATGTGAAATTCAAGCTGCCCATACTATATTAACGATATGTTGAAAATTTGCGTTCATTCGGCTCAAAATATCAAAGCACACTGAGGGCATGGAAGGGTACAACAAAACGGATTTGATGGCTTATAATACCGACAGCGGTGAGTAATTAATTTTGACTGCGTGCAACTGGGAAAAGTCGAGCTCAGCTAATAAAAAACTAATTACAAGCTATTCATTACAAGTGAAGCTTTTTCAAGAAGTCTCCCGGGAACTAAGCAGAATTGAGACCTTAATCGTCCGTGATTCCCATAATTCAAATTATCATAAAAATCGGGGTGCCCTTTTTGCAAAACAACAAGATTTTAAACTAAATTGGCTGGCAGCCACGACTTTCAAAACAGACTTTTCTTCAAAATTGTCCGTCCTAGAAAATAAACAATTTATTTGCCATATCCACCTACTTAGAAAACCAAAAGAATTGGTTCTCAAAATTGGAAGACAACGGTGTTTATAAAACGATCTTGCCATGATGCTAGATTGTGAAGGTGAAAGTCAGGAGGATACATCCGACATTTGCAGCCCCGATGCAATGCTCAAAAAGGAATTATTGCACCGCAATAAAAAAAAAATCTCAACTGGTGCAGCGTCAATCGAAAAGAAGTTAAAATTTTTGTGAACTTTCAAGTTTTTAAGTTCGTCGCCTTGAGCTAGTGGCGCAATTTTGATTTACGACCCGTTAAGAAACAGACTGTAATCCGGAAAATTACTTTTGATTAAACACAATATTCCAATTTCTAAATTCAAGTACTAAATAAATAAAAAAAAAACATTATTAAAATTTACCTACATTTCCATTTTTTCACATTCGCGGATGTTATCTTTTAAACATCCGCATTCGCATTCGCGGATGTCTAAAACTCCACGTTCGCGACATCCCTAATACATATATGTAGTTGATACATGTATGAAGTATTGTTATTCACAAAGTCAACATATTTCTTTTTTTTGACAAAAGGCAACACAAAAAATCCTGCAAATATCGCGGATTGAGAACTAACGCAGTGCACGGGACAGTTGCCTTACTACTAGTGTGCACATGAATGTGCATATATACGTCTATGCACATATGTATGTAGATATGTATTGCAGCAAAAACATTTCCAGCACGCAATGCGTGGAAAAAAAACAATAGCGATATCAACTACCGGTTTAACAAAGCATTTTATGCCGCTGAACATACATTTTTCATGAAACTTTGATGCAGCTGTGGCGCACAGTGGGACGTGACGCGCGGCCTACTACTGGGGCTCCGAATTCGATGATACATACCTCTGCACTTACTGAAGAACTGTGC